TACTTACTTACTTACTTACTTACTTACTTACTTACTTACATGAACAAATCAATCAATTGTATTAGAATACTGTGATGTCCTTACAAGGCGTTGCTTCCATTACTTACGGTGCTTTTTAAAATCATTTATACTGGTTCATTTGTATAATCTACAACATACACTAGCAGTACAGCAGCGTACTAGTACTACAAAGAAACCAAAAGGATAAGAAAAAGTACATATATCGAAATACATTGAAAGAGAGACCAAAAAGTAGAGGTACGATTTTGGTGCATGCTGTATCGTAATGTGAGAAGAGGAGGCAGACGTTTTCTATTCTGGGAGCAATATTGTGCATTTTGCATACCCAGACAAAAAGGCTGGCCACCAATAAGTAGAAGTATAGCAGTCTCGTTCTAATTCTACTACAACACTTACACTAAATGACACGGTGTCAAATCCTCCGCAGGAAAAATGATGGCGACTGGTACACTTGCCCATAATTCTTAGCCCTCGAAAACTTTAACAACGCTCATAAAATACGTACAAAAAAGTTCTAAAACCTTCAAACCTAGCTTACACATTGTCGTTATATAGCCGGCAGGGACAAATATTACAAAAATATGGCGTTCCATGTACTTTATGGGCTGTGTCAGAGGCTTGCATGGTATTATAGTAAACTGCACATTGATTTAAACCTAGCGAAAACCGAATTGTTACGTTACAAGTTCAGAAAAGGTGGATGAGCGTCCCTTTATCTCTTTGCAAAAAAGTCCACAGCTCCTTGTCCCTTTAGTTTTATTTTTCTTTTAGAAAATCACTGATCACTAATCTCCCAGAAGGAGATTAGTTTTGAAATATTTGCACATAGAAAATGATCTAAAAGGTGCTCGGTAAACTATGTTCCAAGCAGTGTTTTCCTTGGTTTAAAGCATACGATCTGCGATTCATTTTCATTGGACGTCAATTATGGGATTTTAACGCGTTCACCGATAATTTTTCTTCTTTCAGAAGAGAACAAAAAAAGATTGGTAGCTGGTGTTACATTGTACCTTTGTGTAGCTTTATACCGTTGTCTTTCCATGATAAAGCTTCAACAGTTGATATCATGACTTGGAAAATAAGAAAGTGCTTTGATATGAAAACTTTCTGTACAGTAAGAGAAAGATAGAAAATTAGTCGCCTCTTTCATCTAAAGACCCACTTTGAAGATCATAATCTATAGTGTTTTGGTTCGCTTCCGACAAGTAGAAGAGAGTTTCGCCATAAATTTTGCGTGTCAGCAGTTCAATTGAGGCGAATTATTAGCTTCGTATGAGTCATATTTAATGTCTGTCAGAGTTGTCAATACTGCATTGTTAGAAAATAACAGTTTATATATTGGAAGTGTAACGATGAAGACAGATTTAAAGACATTTTAACAAGGAATGGCCAGTAAAATACTAAACTACAAACAATTTTTTTCTCAGGTTATGCTTCCAGCAAACAACGATGAAATTGTACTGAGCGACAAATGTGAAAACAGCGACACTTCCGTCATTAAGGAACACTTAAAATTCAACTTTATTCCAAGTAAGATGTCGGATCATAGTTTGGGACATATATTATAAAACTCTGTTCTGCCACACTTGAAAGGAACCACCCAGCAAGTGTACGCTTTGGCTCGCTTCCTGCTTTACCATCTCTCAATCCACTGCCATTTCTCTCTTCCTAATACAGTCTTGAGTAAAAAATCCCTTAAATAATTTTCTTCGGCAATTCTTTCCAGGCAGGCACTCTAACCATTAATGTTATAACTGCATAATTCATACATTGTGGTCTTTCTGACAATTTAGTTCATCTCATGTGTTTTTTTTTTGTTTTTTTTTCCCACAGCCGATCCATATGTCCATCTGGAAAAATGCACATATTTCGATCAAGCTCGAGTTGACCAGAGGTTCGAGGTTGTAGATGAATCAATTGTCAGCATTTGCAGCAAATACCCCAGAAGTAAGTTACATATTCCTGCCACAACAATACCGCCATAGTTCCTTAACGCCGCTGTCGCTGGGCTTTAGAGATATCATTCTTTTCATCTCATAAATGTTGCCTTAGATGTCTTTCTTACCAAAAGCTCAACTCATCGTGTAGTACGTGACCTAAAAATTACAAAAAGCATATCAAACATCTGCAGACCAACAGTTCACCTGACTGTGAGAGACAACTCGCTCAGGCTAATGATCATTGCCCAGGGAAGGTAGAACTTCCATCGTAAAACTTCACCATGTTTGGCTCTAATCATGGAGACAGAAGTTTTTTAAAAATCACAATGTTCAAAACCATACTTAGCGAATTTCATCAACGCTATTCTTGACTATTGAAAGTTGCATTCGCGGTTAAGTCTTCCATTTCGGTGCACATGAATATATATCAGTGTTCGAACGCGTTAGCTCCCACAACTTGTAAATAATATAAAAGAAATGTACACAGTTTCACAAACATGGTGGATGGTACGAAAGGGTTTTAACAGAAAGTTGAGAATTGGTCAAAATTAATTCTAACTGACAGTTGAGAAATGATGCAAGCGTTTCGGAGCTGATAGCTTTCATTTTCGAAACTGTACAATAGTTCTACAAGGAGACTTAAGACCAGTAAGTCTTCCGGTGTATATATAAACATTAGCCTCCATTTGGCGCGAAAATATGCTCTCTGTTCCGAGAAGCGAACAGTTTTCCGAGAGCGTAGCTCGAGGAAAACTGTGAGCTTCGGGGAACAGATAATGTCCAAGGACAAATATCCGAGCATATTTTCCAAATGGAGGCTATTGTGTTTATTATTCTTCAATCTTTTTCGCAACGCGCGCAGTTTTGAAAATTGGGGAGTATTATCGGATATTCCCCAGTTTCATCTGGGGAATATTCGATGACGTGACGTGTCTAGACCAATCGCGCGCGAGCGAAAATTATTTGAAGGATTATAATCTCGGGCATTCGGCAGTATTAGCTTGGAAGTATTCGGTCACGTAACGTGTTTAGACCAATCGCGTGCGAGCGAAAATATTTGATGGATTATAAGGTGAGGTAGTCTTGAGGTAAATACGAGAGTTTTGATTGGTTCTTTCTTGGTCAGGATTTTTCCAGAAGCACCGTTTCCATGGAAACGGTCATTACGAGCGTTTTGCAACTTCCATGGAGTGTCATATAATAAACTACTTTTTAACTTAGCTTGCTCAAGCGGTACTGTGGAATATTGGCCTAGGGCCGTTTTTTGCACGGACCTCACCGCGCTCGGTCGACACTACCGCGACGTCGGGCCAATATTTCCTAGTGCGGCCCTCGAGCTCGGTTGTTAAGAAGTTATCTATCCTTTACCTTTTAGACGTCTTGATCGTTAATCGTTATGAATACTACGAGAGGCTCACTAACTTTGATGTCAGAGTTGGCGTCAACACAAACAATTTACAGAACCCAACATGTCATGACCGCGTGGGGACTGTGGGCCAGGGACAATTCCTCACCGTTCAGTGTGATCCACCAATCCCAGGACGATACGTGTCCGTGCAGATGTTTGGAGAGGGAATCCTTACGTTATGTGAGGTGTTTGTTTACTCCAGAGTCGGTGAGTGAATATTATACAAATATATAAATATCGCACCAGGTAATTTTTTCAGAGATAGTAATTTCTCTTACTTGATATACGTCAAAGGCCTAACCACAAATGACTATTAGGATTCCTCGCCTCCACGGAAAAACTAAGTTTTTTTTTTTTTTTTTTTTTTAACTTTTGT